ATTCAAATTTTGCTAATGACTCATACCTAAAATACTCATGGTTAGAATCTAACAAGATATAGTGAGTGTTTCAAGAGTTATAAGTATCGATTATGCTTATTTTATTCCACCTATTTTGTTTTTATCCATTTATTATAAGTAAGAACCATTATATAATAATTTTTAATTAAAAATAACAATCATTGTTTCTAAATGACACTCTGATGTAAGCCATTGACATCACTACTTATTTGATATTTATAATAAATGTTTGGATATGAAACAACATTCTTTCACACCCTCTCTTTTCAGCGACTATATTTCAAATTTTGGGTATTAATATAGTTTACAGTGAATTGAATTAAAAACATTTAATTTTACCTTTAAAAACGTATGCAAGAAAAATAAAAAGAATACGTTGATATTTTAACAAGGAATAATAATCAAATAACGAAATATACTTAGATTAATTTTACTTAAGTTAATGTGACACTATTTTTATTCATATTACTAGAATTATCTAAAAGCTTAAAATGATATACTCGTAAAATTAACAAAATAAATAGTTTTATGAATAATTATTTAACGAGTTTAGTAAAAACAATATTAATATTGAGCATTTTTTATATTACAATTACAGAGACATGAATTAATTTATATAATATTAAATATGTTGAAAAATATATTATAATACAAATAAAATAAATTTTGAAGTGCTGTAATGTTTAGTCAAAATAATAAATTTTATTATTTGTTTTTTTTCCAAGTATTTTCATTGTCAGTATTATATTATATTATATTATATTATACATTTAATCAATATGTTGATATTTTGATTATTGTGTTATTTTAAACCAGTGAAATTTTTATTTTAAAAATAATTATAATATTTAAAAATAAAATAAATAATATTGTAGTAAAATTGTGTTTATTAAACCAAGAAATAGTGTTAAATATATTTTATAGGTAATAATAATAACTAATATTTATTTATACAACATAAAAAATAACTGAACAAGAATGATAAAGTTATGTCACATTTTTAAATTAATCAGTAACTATATTTTTAAAGTTTAAAAAATAATAGCAAAACCAACTTCCTAACTATTACAATTATTTATTAAAAAATCTGTTGTAATAATAATAATAATAATGACCTATTTTCCGATAACATTTTAAGAATTAATTTATAACCAATAAATTCTTAAAATCAAATAAAAATATAATAACACAAGAATATTAATTTTCTTTAAAAATGTCTATGTATATAATTTTTTCCAAGGGAATACACTGAGATTCAATTTACAATTTAAAGTGAACATATAGCTATAGAATATTTTAAGGTTTTATACTGTGTACTTACTATATTCATATTAACAGAAAAAAAATAAATATTTTAATGGCATAATTTTTATTTAGAAAATATTATCACTTATAATATTCTATATTTTATTAAAAATATATAAAATAGTATATTATAAAAAAAGTGTATTATAGGATTATATTATAAGTTCATATTTATTTTTTAAATTTTAGTTACACAAATTAATAAATATTTAAAATGCTAGATTTTATCTTATTTTTGATTATCAATTTAATTTTCGCCTTCGGTTTATTCTGCTAATATTAATAAAATATTTTAAAATTAGTTAAGCTTATACGTTGGGTTGTTAACTAGTTTATTTGAAAATTATTATAAAATAAAAATAAAATAAATATATACACAAAAGTATTCAAGTACTATTATCCTTAAAGATTAGTTATTCAGAAATTCCCAAAAATTTTAATTGGAAAATTATAATTATAATAATTATACTATACAGAAAAAAAGTATGACAAATACTTCAATCGAGTGCAGTATACAAGACAATGAGAGAATATGAGACCTTTCTATTTATTTATTTTATGATTCAATAAGTGCATATGTGTAAAACAATTTATAAATATAAATATAATGAAATATTTACACAACGATTTTCATATAAACATGATGATTTAAGATTTTATTTATTTCATATTTAAAAACTGATTTTAAACACGCAAATTTGGTTAAAACTATATATTTATAAAAGTATCTTTACCAATTCACATAATATAATAAATCAGTCTAGCTTACTAAGTTATCTAAATGAAACCGTTTAGATTACATTGGATAAATAAAATTCAGACGCTATACCTAAACGAAATGATTTTTTTTTCAGTCAAATTTGGATATAATAAATCATAATTTTTGTTAAGTCTTAGAACATTAAAAAAATTATGATATTAAAAAATGTTCAAAAACTTTTAATTACAAAGTTATTTTATCTATCCTTTTAAGAATGTAGTAGAATTCAAAACTTTCTGATTATTCCAATTTATTAAACTATGCAAAAACATGATGATAATTTTAACCAAAATTGTTCAGTATATTAAGTCTAAAAATTAAAATTACATGATATTTGTTCAGAAATAATTAAACTATATGTAAAACTTTAAATTAATATTTACAATATATATATATATATATTATAAAGCTGTTAAACTGTATTGACTAAGCAATATATTGTAGACGTTTTGGAATTCAAAATATATAATACTATAATAATTAAATGATTATAAAATTATAATTATACTTGAAATTTAGATTCTAGGTAAAGAGTATTGTTGATTTTTTCGTTCAAATAATAAGTAATTATTATTAATTGATGTTATTCTTTTATATTTGTGTTAGGCATATATTATGCAGCACAATTTATGTAATATGCCACACAAGAACAATTATTTAATTATGATTTAAATAAAATTTAATATCATCAGTTTTCATATATTTAAAACTCGTAAATTCATTTTTATCATTTAGGTTTATAACTTCAATGTTTGTACGTCTGTGCAATTAATTATTTGATATTACAAATACAACTGTTGTAATTTTGTATGTATGTATTTTTATATTTTATATTTTTAACATTAATTTTACAGCGTTGAGTCTTACACATGTACATATGTCAGCAAAACAACTAATGTTTTGAACAATCCAACACCGTATTTTCCATGGTAGTAATACCTACTCAATTATTATTGGATAAATTAATTTTTTACTTAGAAAAGTATTATCTGTATCGTTAAATATTGTGATATAGTTTTCCAGTATTATTTTATAATATAGATGATAAAATAAAAAAATAATATTATATTCCTCATACACTCTTTATTATTATCAATGATTTTATATATATTGTTATTATTATTATTCTTATTATCGACTACATGTCTGATCAATCTTATCTAATTACTATTGTCATTATTGTTTTTAGTTATTATCGCTTTATTATTACCTATTATTATCATGTTACAAAAGTCAAAAATTAATGTTTTTATTATTATTTTTTTTTTTTATTCATAGATGTAGATAGCCCTATAGACTTGGAATGTCTTAATATAATAAATATATAAAAAAAAAAAAAAAAAAAATGATAAATTAAGGTTAATTTCTAGATTTCTAGATTCACGTTTAATAATTTTCAAATAATATGAACTATACATGAAATGTATTTGGATATGAAAATAGATATAATTAAATAATTTGAAGTTTAGAACTATTGAAAAATTAAAAAGGAAAAATGACTTAAAAGATGTAATTGTTATCAACTATTTTAGCAGTTTAACACTAATACATCTTTTTTGTTTCATTTTAAATTGTTTACTTCCTTATTATTATATGAAATTTAATTGAATTCTAATAAAATATATTAATATTTCATATATTATGTATGATTATTTAAATAACTATCTATAATTTTATTTTTGTTATTATTTATGAAAAATATTAGTTAAAGTATTCCTACTAAAAAAAAAACAAATAATAAGCAAAGATTATGTAAAATACTTTTAACATTTAGCTGATAAGGAAACTGTAATGATCTCAGTACAATTTCTATAAATTAAAGTAGATTAAATTTTTTTAATTAACACATATAAACTGATAGTTGAGTACCTACAATATGGTGTAGTGATAGCTGTGCAGCATATTTCGATTGTTACCATATTAATTATTTAATGACGTAGTGTGTTCCTGGCCAACTTGAGGTGGTTATGAGAAGATAAATAGGTAGTTAATAAACAGAAAACTTCTATTTTGAAGTATGAATAAGTTAAAATAATTTATTAATACTTTAAAAAATAAGTCAAATAAAAATAGCTAACTACTGTACAAAAGTTACTAGTACTGGGAATGACTAAGTACTCACCGCAATGTGACTGTGACAAAGTCCACGACGAGAGCAATAGTCTTACAGAAAGGATAAATAGCCAGTTTAACACTGTGAATTTCTTCTGTCTAATACTAGATGTTCTACTTGTATTTATACGAGTTCTAGTAATGACGTGTGATGGCGTGCTGTTATTAATAATATACTGATTATAAAAATACTACGGAGTATTCCTCTGTTAATGTAAAATGTACTATTCAGTGACAATAGGAAAAAACATGTTGTTTTTATTCTTTAATCTACTTATTCCTGGAAATGTATATTATATGTTAAATATGTAACTTTATTTTATGCATTGAAATAATGTAGATATTAAACATATTTACTGTATTTTATGTCCATTACAATGGCTTTATCGATGAGATTATTAATCCCAATTAATCTGGATTAAAATTATAAAAATTATAATTTAAAGATCACAGTGCAAGAATGATATTTTAGTGAAGTGACGTCATCAAGACTTACGGGTAGATATAATATTATGACTAATAAAATTCAGCCGTCGCTAGAAAGTCTATCAGAGTGACAGTTGAAACTTTGAAATGCAAATTCTGCATACCCTATTTCAAGAAACGCACATTTGTCTATTATGTTAAACTATTATTGTTGTACAGCGCGCACGAATGCCACAGATGTTGTCATGTATGAGACATGTTGTTCATTATACCCTAACTAACAGTTGAATATGTTGAATTTCGTCCTAACAATATATTTTACTCCACGCGCATAGTTTGCAAAAAATAATAATATTTAATTTCAATCGTTACTCACTTGGCGTATCGGCCGCACTCGTGTACAAGCGCTACCGTACCATCTGACATAAGTCTGGGGTAGTTGCACCTTCGAAACGAGCTGAAGTAGGCGTCAGCCTTGTCCATTAATCGACCCTGTAAATAAATGATACAATCATTTTCTATTGTCGCATAAAATATATTACGAGTCATAACTAAAATATGTGTAATATGATCAATCAAAATAACGAAGTATTAAGTGTGAAGAATATAAATCAAGTATCAATAAAATTGTGCTATGAGTACATTTATGAGAATATAATATTATTTTAAGCTATTTGTGTTTTCAAAAAAAAAAAAAAAACAATAAAAATACTATACATTTTACTTATAATTTATCTTTTTACACAAATTTAATATGTTTAAATATGATTCATATTAGTTTTCGTCAAAATTCATCAAGACATCGACTATTTTTGATTAAAATATTGGTTAAATTATTTATTTTTTTAAAGGTAGTTGTATTGAAGTAGTTTAAATTCAAATTTAAAATAAATAATTTGTTATTATAATTTATCATCATTGAATTATTCTCTGATTTTTGTTAATTCAATGAAATTAAATAACATCATAAGGTAAGTAAATATATATAAATGTTATTAAATCATTATAATGTGCATAATTAAAAAAATATCAAAATAAGGTCAATAATTAATTACATTTTTTATCTCCCACTTTACCAACAAGGTTTATTTGGTTATTAGACTTATTTTATGCTGATCCCAAAGTGAGTCTCATTAGCAGTGTCTATTATCATTATTGTTATTATATATGTGTTGAAATATTAAAAAATCAAATAAAAACATGAGAAAAGTTAATTAACTAACCTACGTTGAATAAAATCAATTTAACAATTTTGTAATTCTAAAATATTTTAATATATGAATTAGGATAGTAAATAAGCTATCCGAATAAAATCAGTGCAATACGTGATAATATATTCATGTGTACGGGTTATAAAGAACAAAATTAATCCTAGTGTTATCTTGGTGTACCTACAGGTATTTTTAATTTCTTAATACCCATGGATTCTAGATATATATATATATATTTAATATTCGTGAAAAACCTTAAATTATAAATGAGTTCGATTAAATTTCTAAGTGATATGTATATTATGAAATATGGACTATTGATATAAAATTGTTTTAATATTTATTAGATTTTAATGATTTATTTACAAAATAAAATGAAAATAAATTACTTTTTTTTCTTTAATAGTACCTATAAATCTATTGATTTATTTTGTTTATTTACTTAAAGTTACTAATAAATGATTTTATCATATAAAAAAAAAAAAAACTATATGAATAATAAAACAAAATAACAATGTACAATTATATGTAATTTACATATTTTAATTTCACGTAATATTGCCTCTTTAATAAAATATTAAAATATTAAAATTTTAAAGACTCAATATTATCTCCTACAAATAATATATATGTATGTATAAAATAATACCATTGACGAAAATATTATCAAAAAATTATTAAAATATTAAAAATAATTAAAAAACATAATGATAAACTATAATAATATAATATGCTATTCTAAACATATTGATCAATTACTAGTCATTACTATAATTAGGATATATTAAAGAAACAAAATAATATTTACATATAACAAATTTATTAAAAGAAAAAAAATAAGTAGACACCATTCTTTCAATGCAAAAACACTATTCCAAAACATTGTAAACGCTTTTGTTTAATAAATGTTTCATAAAAAATAACGTAGAGGGTAAGCACAATGAATTCTCCAAAGTAAAAAATAAAAATAATTATGATTTCATTATTGTTAACTTTAAAAAACGGTAAAATGGTTTTTATTTTTATCTTATAAGTTATACTCTGTCGTCTAAAAGCCAGAAAAAGTAATTTCTTTAACTTTTGTTGTTTTCCTTTTAAAAACATCTGGCAGTGAATGGTGTAACCATAAATATATACATATATATAGTTTTTCATAAAAAATTAACTGTTCTAAAGTTTATTGACACCCAAAGTTTAGTAAAAAAAGAACACTTTTAAAAATTATTTTAACAAGAAGAAACAAAACACTTTAAATTAAATACCTTAATCGTTCATTTTTATATTTATAATAAAATTATCTGTATATTACCAACATATTTATTTTTGTATCTATTATGACATGATCTAAGATTTTAAATAAACCATTAATAGGTTATTAATTTTTTTCTTTAATTAAAAGTAAATATTTCATTATTTATCGTCATAATAGAGTTGTATAGAAAGTGTATAATTTTACAATAATTAAAATAAATTATTTTGATACTAAATTTGTAGTATGAGGTTCTCCTATTTTGTATACATGAATTACTTTAAAAATTAGAAAAGAAAAAAAAAATTACAGAAATAATTTTTATAGCTCACTAAGAATTATTTTTTTTAAAACTTATACTCATTATTTAGATACTGAGTATTTTTATGCAGTTTGTAATTTTTCTAAATATGTATCATTCGCAGATAATTCTGAAAAAAAAAAAACATATTTATATCTTCTTTGAATTATAATTTAAATGAATTTCCGTTTTTTTTGTATGTATATAATTATAATGATTTTTTAATATGCGTATTGCTTTTATACTTTAACATAGACTGACAATGAAATCGAAATAAGAGATTAAAAAACAGTATACTAATATTTTTTTGTAACATTTTCTTTTAATATAAAGTCCCTGAGATAAAAATAGGTACACTTCCAAATATGAAGTGTTCAATATATTGTATATTATAATAAACATGAAAATTTTCGGTCACCATAGTTTTTAAGTTGCATAAAGTTATATTTTTCATCATTTCGAGATTCAGTCACGTAGTTCTGCTTGTTGATAAAACAAACAAATGTTTTTGTGTAGCTATAGCAGTTGTGAGGCCACTTATAAGTAGATATTATATACTTTATAACCGTCACCATCGGTGGGCGTTGACAGAACACCAATGACTTACTAGTTTTATAATGGAGTTTAAATATTTTTCTGAAATCATTATGAGTTTAAAAAAAAATAAGTCAGAAAGTAAGAACAAGTTATTAATCACCTAATAGAAACCTCAAAAACAATAGTGAAATTACAATAACTTAGAGCTTAAGGTTTTCAGTAATTAGAATTTTCTTCTACCTCATAATATTTGTTCATAGTTTAAAAGTTATTAAGCCATATTTTAGAATACAGTAATAATGAAATCCACAAATTGCTTTCAATTATACAAATATAATGAGTTATTAAGGTATCTCCTACACGATTCAACAATAATGTTAGTGTGTTGTTTCTAAGTGGAAATTATCCAGAAAAAAATAACCTAGATGAATATTATTTATTTATTTATTTAGTATTTCTCAAATGAAAAAAAACAAATTTATATACGTTTAATTTAAAATGCAAAAATGTAAATACATTAAAATAATGAATAATTTGATTTGTCAAAAATTAATTTGAGATAATGAAAAATTTTGAGGTGAATGTTTTATATGTTTACAAAGGTAATTTTATTAGTATATAAAAATACTCAAATTAGAAGTAAATGAGAATTTTATATAAAAAATGTAAACAAAAATGCTTTCAACAACGTTTTTATTTAAATTGCAAGAAATATATATATTTTATTTTTAGCTAATTTATTTATTTTATTTATTCAAATAAAAGTTATATTCATAATTTATATTATATATATATGTGTGTGTGTTTTATGGACTAAATACTGGAATAATATTTTATAACCAGAAATTTAATAAACTATTATTTATTTTAATTTAGATATTTGCGTGATTACAATTTTCGTGACCACAGTGAATTATCGCTGTAAAACAAATCATATAATTTATTCATATAACATAATCTTTACGTAAATTTTAATAATTTTAGTTCAGTAATATTAATAGTTTTATTTGGTGAACAATTATACAATATTATAAAATCTATTAAAAAATACTTATGCTAAGACAGCTAAATGATATTTTATTTTTCGGTTATTATTTAATACATATTTTCATTTATCAAGAGAAATACTACAGACTTAAACACATCATATTATTTAAGTTTATATTCATTCTCAAGGGGTTTATTTTAATAACTGTTATTTATTTATTTAAAAAAACATATAAATAAATAAATTAATAATATATAATGTCGTGAATTCTTCATAAGTATCTTAAGATTTTCGCATGAACACATTTATTTCCTGCGTTGCTTTAAGCCACGATGTGTTTTATTTTATTATTATTATTTTTTTGTTTATGACCCACAAAATTCAACTAATGCACTAAATAGTTATAGCAATAAAAGATTGCATATTGCATCTAGATAACAATTTAATCTGTATGATAGTAAAACGTCAATAATGATTATGATAATTGAAAATAAAAAATCTGTAAATAAAAAAATATTTCTTTTTTGTAATATTTAATGCTACAAAAAGAATTATTATACCAATAAACATTTTAAAAATAAAAAGATAATTAGAAAAAACTAATTATAATACGACTGTATTTGTATTACTATTGTTTTGTATTTTGTAATATACGCTTTAATAATTTAAAAAAATGTGTCTAATATTCGTTTTTATATTATAATATGCAATTAATTAATTTATTATAATAATATGCAAAAACAACGACTAAATTTACCATAAAAATGACCTAAGATTTATCTAGTAAAAATAGTTTTAAAATAAGTACTGTTAATTACATAATTTTAAAATTGTTTTTATTAAATATAAATTTTAAAAATTAAGTTATAATAATAACATGAAAATTAAAATATAAACACATAAACAACAATTAAACTTAAACAGTCTAGTTGGTCGAAGAATAATAATAAAAATCAATATAATGTGTTTTTGTTTTCTGTAAGTGGTGGAAAATATTTTGAATTTTGAAGATTATATTGAAGTAATAAAAAAGAAACAATAGGCAGGCTCGTTGTAATAAATATTTGGAATATTTGAAGAGATAATTTAAAATTTCATAATTTTGAAAATTGTTATTAGGTGTAAGTAGCAAGTTTTTTAATTTAAGAGTCGATATTAGTTTCTATTTAAATATAAATTTACAAGTTAATTAAATACAGTTATTTA